TCGCTGTTATATTAGGTTAGGGTTATTGTTGGGGTGTTCCCATTGGCTCGGCCGCCTTCGGCGGCCTCGCTGTTATATTAGGTTAGATTATGTTATTAACAAAAATCCGCTAGATGGCAGCGTCACTAAAGTTTTTGTTTTTCTCAGTTCTCCACATCGGCGGTACGGCTGTCCAGCAACAGCAATCCTCGTTGCCGAGCGGCACTAAGAGACAGTCGCTTTGTTGTCTGCAGTTGCTGCTGCTGCTGTGACTAGTGGCGATGGTGTCACACTCAACAATTCTTTTAGAACCTCATTTTCTTGTACGACACTTTTTTGGGTGACCACTGGTGACCATTTATTAAGTACAGTGCTACTTTTGATTCTTTAGTGCTTTCTGTGACTTATACTTTTTTATGTGCACTTGTTTACTTAATTTTGACTAATTTTCATTTTCATTTTTTCAACAATTCAACTAAACAATATTTAAAACTCACCTTTTTTGTTCAACATTGCACCAAACTTTAACTGACAAATCATCACTCTCATAAATTCTTTTTTTGTCTGCCCTTCATCACCACTTTGTTTTTTCTACTTTTTGAGTGCATCATCATCATCATTATCACCTCGCCCATTCGCCTCGCCGCGTTCATCCTGCGACCGTCTGTACTTTTCCTCCTCTTCTTCTTTGTTCTCTTTTCAGTTTTCTTTCATTCGTCAACTTCAACTCAACAACAGTCAGAACTGTGCCCAATCACCATTGACCACAGGTAAGCCTTTCGAAACAATGCACACATTTTCAGAAGTATTTTCTCGCTCAGCAAAACTGACCTTTAGCTATCAACTAAAGTAGCTTCTGTCTCTCTTTCTGCAAATCTATTGTTTAGTCATCGTCTCTTTCTCTCTGTGTCTTTCTGCCTGTCTATTTTCTATGACGCAGTCACCACGACCATTTGGCGCGCAAACGAGCGTCGTTGTTGCCGCTGCTGCTCTTTGTGCATGTGCCGTACAACGACAATGTCGTACAGAAAGAGAGAGAAAAAGTATAATATAGTACAGTAAATCTAGTAAAGTAATTTTATTATACAGTGCAAAAGTGGTGATTTGGAGAGAAAAAGAGAAAACGATTTAGAAAAAAGAATTTAAATATACAATGCAATGAAAGTGGGTGTGGTGGTGGGAAACGACTGCTGTACAATCGCCGTGATTTTCGTCTATTCACAGAATTTGACTAAATTGGGAAAGGAGGAGTGGAGGAAGGGAGTTTGCTAAAAAAGGAGTACTACAACTAAGACTCGTTTTGGCAGGGAGAAGAGGGAGAGAACTTTTTGATAGGGCTTAAAAGTATTCTACTAAAAGGTGTGTTTAGTAGTGTCCGAGGGGAGCACCGTGGCCGTAGGCGAGGCCCTTGCCGAGCAGGGGGGCGGCGGCGATGCTGGCGTGCTGGGTGTGCACGGCGTAGCTGCTGGCAATGGGGGCGTGGGCGATGGGGGCGTGGGCCAGAGGGGCGGCATAGCCGTGGGCGAGGGGGGCGGCCACGGCGAGGGGAGCCGCGTGGGCGAGGGGCGCGGCGAGGATGGCCGGGGCGGCGACGGGGATGTGGCCACCGCCGTAGTTGAGGTTGGTCGCCGCGGGGTCCTGCTTCACGTCAGTGCCGGGCTCGTTCGTGGAGATCTGAGGGGAGGGGTGATAAAGAAAGTGATGAGAGGGGTGATTAAGGGGGTGATCATCACCAACTTACCGAAGCACGGAAGCCGAGGGCATCGGCGACGTAGTTCACAGTTCGCACTCGACCATCAGCATCTCGGAGACCGTACGAGCCGACCTGCACACCTGGGCCGCCCTTCTCCTTGCGGAAGGTGCCGCCAGTGGCGTGGTCCTCGTTGTAGCCGAAGGCGTAGTTGCCTGAAATTAAAAGGGGGGTTTAATGTGATCAATTAAGACTAAATAAACCATCAGCAGATTAAACACCTACCATGGCCATCATCGGAGCGGGAGACGGCGGAGGAGCCGGTGTTGACGATGCCGGCGTAGGGGACGGCGACGGCCGAGGCGACAAGGGCGAAGAGGATGAAGAACTGCATTATGGCGGCTCGAAGGTTTAGTAGATTGTGTCGTACAGTGGTCGAGTGATTCAAGTGAGTGAGTCAGAGTGATCCTCTTCAGCGGCTATTTATACGATCCTCGAGGTCCAAAGAGAAGAGGAGAGAGAGAAGAGGAGGAGAGAAGAGCTGAGACGTGGTCTTCACGAAAAAAAGAAAGAGAGAGTGGTCAGTTTTGAAGCAAAAAAGAGTGATAGAGAGTAGTGTTGGTCAGCAGCAGNAAGAGCGAGAGTGAGTGAGTGAAGAGGAGGAGGAGAGAAGAGCTGAGACGTGGTCTTCACGAAAAAAAGAAAGAGAGAGTGGTCAGTTTTGAAGCAAAAAAGAGTGATAGAGAGTAGTGTTGGTCAGCAGCAGCAGCTTATAATGATGGCGTCCTAATGAGCAGTAATGATAGACCAGTGAGGTGGTGGCACCATCACCACCACGGTCGCCGAAGACGCTGACCAAGGTGGATCACCATTCACTCTATGTCAAGTCAAGGTCTGCAGACGGAGAGGCAAGCCTCAATGGATGATTATTATTAGAGAAAAGCCTTAGTGGTGGTGGTGGTCGCTCTATCATATTTGCATATTTTTGCCTCTTCAGGGCACACCTGGTCGAACAAAAGTAGTATATCATTTTGATGGGTTCACTCTTGATGCTGCTGCTGCTCCACTGCTGCTCCACTGATCGACTTTGAAAGTACACGTGCTCATTTTTTCTGCGATCTGTCCTTTTGTGCAATGTGCAACGTGTTCAAAGCTGAAGTCGAAGACGTGTTGTTGGCCAATACTTCTTCAGCTTCAGCTCTCGCCAGTTGTTCTAATTGCCATCGATCGATCAGAGTTATCTAAGACACTCGCTTTTTTGCAGTCAATATCAATAGAGGCTTTAGCTACTTCACTACTGACAGCAGCACTTGAAATCGGTTCATTTCCATAACGGGATCCCTTTCACTTTCCCTTTTACTTCTTCTTTTGTGCTCTTTCAGGCGGCGATGAAGGTGCGCACAGGCACGATTTCAAAGGGAAAGAAAGAAAAGAAGAAGAAATAAAAGGGGCAAGAGCTTCAGAGCTTTTGTTCAGCCACACTAGCACTTGATTCCGTGGCCACTGGGCAGAGTCCAGTGAAAAATAAAAGAAGTGTGCAGTTGCTGCAGTTGCCATCGATCGCATAATAACTCAATTGAATGGCGGCCACTGTGTCTTCTGTGTCTGTGTCTGTGTGTGGCAACAGATCTACTGAGAAGCTCTGACTTACAGAATTTCACCTCAAAGACTGAGCTGCTGCTGCTGCTGCCGAGCCGTTATTAGACTTGGAAATAAGACGTGGCACTGGCCACCATCACTGACAGCTCAGCGATCAACATCAGCTCAGTGAAAGTAACTGTGTGTGTGAGTGATTGTGCAAAAAGTGATCACCTCCATTGTTTTGTTTGAGAAGTGCACATGGCCACCACGGCTGCTGCTGCTGCTGTCCAGACAGTGCAAGCATTCCCAGGAGCAGGCACTCGCACTGATGACGGCCAATGTCAACTCTCCTTCTCCTTCTCCTTCTCAGCTGTTCAATCTGTCTACTGCAAATTGGTCGCTATTTTTAGTCGGTGCACAGGTGGTGGCTGAAGTTGAAGTTGAAGTTGAAAGAAGTTAAGAGTGAAAGTGCAAGTGCAAGTGCTTAATTGATGTGTGAAAGATGAAAGGACGCGGGGCAGCAGCTGATAATTACCTGAGACTTCCTGTGCACACTTCATTCAGTGGGCACTCCTCCTTGATCATGATGGAATTGAACATTGAAAATGACGCCCAAGGGAGACCGGAACTGATGATGAGGGCAAGGATTATACACAGAGAGATGATCTTCCGAGATTTTCCCTTTTCCAATCCTCGGTGTTATCATCAGTGCCAAGAGGTGCCAGCACCAGAGTTCGACTGACTGAATTTTCAAAAAGTGTGCACAGTTGCTTCCAGTGCAGCAGTAGCAACTGCAGACGCTCTTTTGGTGGTGCACCAACTGCACAGCTGCAGCAGCAGCTCAGTGTGCCCTTGCTGCTGTTGCCAGGCAGTGTCGAGGAGCAATCTCTCTCGGTGGTGTTCAGGTCAAAGGCAGTGGTCTCACTCTGTCTCTGTGTGTTCAGTCAGTGACCTGATCTGCAGTAGCAGAAGCAGCAGCAGTGGAGCAAAAGGGATGCAATGGTTTCGTCCACTGAGCAGACAAACTGTGCTCAATCACTTCACTTGGGAGACCGAAAACGTCGCTTCTTTTTCTCTCTCTTGTTCATCCTCGTTGTTCACACGTTTCCTTTTCTTCTCCTTCCATCTTCTGTCTCTTTTTCAGTCCATCCTCGTAGTTTTTTCGTAGTCCTCTTCTTCACTGGTCGCATGCGCAGGCAAAAAATTACTCTCTGCCTGTGTGTTCCTTTCCAAGCACTCTGACATCCTCGTCAGCTGAGCGAGAGAGCGAAGGTAATGGTGGAAAGAAAAGGAAAGCAAAGGGAGAGAGAGGGAGAAAGGAGCGGATGCCATTTTCCAAAGGATCATTTATGCTGCTGAATGGCAGCAAAAAACAGATGTGGAAGCAGTGTGGACACTACTACTACTGCGTCATCTGCGATTACAATGGAAGGAGAGGAAAAGGTTGTTTGCTTGAAGGGGTGACAGAAGAAGTAGAGGTTCCAGTGTGTTTGTAAACACGAGGCGCCATAAAGTGAACTCCAGAGTTCGAAAACCTAGTATTCGAAAAGGGAAAAAACCTTGGTCCTAGAATCCCAATAAATCCCCGCATCCTTCGAGGCCAGAAAAAATCAAGTGCAAGAGGTCGCCGTCAGAGGGCGCCGCCGTCGGTAAAAAGGGGGGGGAAACTGATTCAGAGAGTACGTGCGAAAGCACAAAGTGAGTGTGTGTTGTCTTCTGCGCTGCTGTGCTTGAAGGCTGCTGCTCGCTTTCACACTTTATTTCTCTCTCTCTCTCTTCCTATCTCTCTCTCTCTCTCGTTCGTAGAGCACACGCAGAACAGACACACCGAGAACGGCAGCAGCAGCGAGCCATTTAGAACTGTGTGTGACCTGCGCCTGAGAAGACCAGACCAGACCGACCGACCTCCACCTCGACCTCGTTACAGACTGACTAACATTCGCACCAGAGCCAGAGCCAGATCACCTCTGATCATCAGGCAAGAAGAATCCTCCTCAGAGAGTTCATCACGACCACCGCCACCATACCAACAACATTCTCTTTCTCCATCCTCGTTGTTGTTGCCAACTCGCCACCACCACCACCAACCTTTTTTCGCTGTTGGTTTTCTTTTTCTTCCCTTCTTTACTTTCTACTGCGGCTGTCCTCCTCCTGTCGACTGCAGCAGCAGCAGCAGTAATTGTCCGTTCACCACCACCACCACTCCTCTCTTTTCACTCTCTTTCGCAGACAATCAATGCGTCGTATATCCTCCAATGCTGCGTAGCTGCCCCCTTGCCTCGGTAACATACTACAACACACATACTACTGCAACTGTGCATGTTTCCATCTTATTACTGTACAGTCTATCTCTTCTACACACTGTTTCCATTTCTCTCTTGCACTGGTATTATTACCCTCTGCTGTATTGTGGATGGCTGCTGCTGCACGTCAGTGGACGATTGCAGGAGACGAGCAAGTAGCTGAGCGAGTAGCTTGTGGCTCATGTGACCAAGGCAACCCGTGGTAGTGTAGTGGCGTGGAGTTTGACCCGTGCACCCACACCACCACCACAGTACTCTGGGGAGATGTGGTCAATTTAGAGAGCATCTTTCCTCTGGAGAATCGACTCTCAGAATCTTTGCTGACTAAGAAAATGGTCAGAAGCTTTTCCCCACCAAAAGGGCCTAAAGGTGTTTAAAGGGAACAGGCGGAGTAGAATAGTAGAATCTAATCTTTCCTATGTTTTTATTTTGCCCAAGCAGTAGTCACTCACAGTGCGAGACGTCATCTGTGAGTGACTCTAATGATCAACTTTTTTTTCTCTCTTTCTATCTCGCTTTGAGTCTACTGTTTTGTTTTGTGTCTGCCACACTCCTGAGCCAGCAGCAGCACTCCTAAACGCTTTCTCTTCTTCCGAGCTAACCTTTACCAACTTTTCTACTTCTCTTTTCTACTTCTCAGTTTTTCTTCTCTTCAAGACCAGCACCACCACACCCCTCTTAACTTCTTCTTCTCTTTCACCACCCACGACACACTCACATCACGTGACAAACACTTTTGACACCCGAGTTCCTCCTTGGCGAACACTGGCCTCCAGCACGGAATCAGACTCGGGTTCAGGTGGAGCTACATCTCCTCCGCCGAGGAAGAGACTGCGCCAGTCGCCTCAGCAGCAGCCTCAGCAGCAGCAGCCCTTCTCAGTAGCCGTCGCCTCCTCCTCTCGAGCCTTTGAGTACGAGCACGAAGACGAAGTAGCAGCGGCCGCCGCAGCAGCAGTGCTCAGACCTTCGACCTCCTCTGCAGCAGCCGCAGCCGCCGCCCCCTCCGCCTCCTCCTCGACCTCCACTACCTCAGCTAATCTCGCCTCTGTTCTAGTGCAACACAGCCGAGCGGGCACCTCCTCCTCCTCCTCAACGACTTTAGCAGCGACCAGAATTGCGTCACCCTCCACTTCAAGCGCCAGTAATCAGCTGTCAGAGCAGCAGCAAGGACCTTCGACATCTTCGCGAGACATGCACTCACTAGGTCTGTCCACAAACGGTTCGGAGAGCGAGGCTCTGGCGCCGCCTGCGGGAGCAGCAGCAGCTGCGGTGGCCAACATCGGCGGTGGTAGTTCAGAGAGCAACGGCGTCAACAACTTTAGCAATGGCGACGCCCTAGGCAGCGGCGGCAGCAGCACTCAGACGACGCCCACCACCGCTGGAGCCGCCGGAGGCAGCGGCAGCAGCAATGGCGTGGCCAACAACAGCAGCTACACAAATGGCTCGGCCAGAGGAGGAGGAGGAAGGGCTGGTGGCAATGAAGCAGAGGACGGCGACGAGGAGGACGAAGAGGAGGAGGAGGACTTTGAAGGGCGTCGTCCGTACCTGCGCAACGGCAAGCAGCCGCTCCGGCCGCCGAAGAAGGCGCCCGCCGCGCCCTATGTGATCAAGTCGCAGACGGACCGCGACATTATCCGCCTCATTGGCCAGCAGCTGCACATCATGGGTTTGGGGTGAGTGCCTGTTGGGTCTTTAGGAATTTAAATGCTAACCTATTTTCAATTGCAGCAACACCGCCAGCCAGCTGATCAAGGAGTCCGGCTGTCGACTGGACCACCCGACGGCGGATCGGTTCCGCAGCCTGGTCATGGGCGGCGAGTGGAGTCGCGCCGACGGGACGCTCCTCGAGCTGAAGCCCTTTCTCGACAGTCCCAAGCATTTAGTTGTCAGTGCTGTTTGGGTATCCTTGAATTACACTTATCTAACCCATTGCCTTTCTTTTCTTCTCTTCAGATGATGAAGTACCTGCTGCTGGAGCAGAAGTACCTGGAGAGCATCGAGGATGAGCGCCACGCCGACGCACTCAAGTGCCTGCAGTCGGAGATTAAGCCGCTCAACTACAAGAAGGAGAGTCTTCCCAATATTTGCAGGTTAGTGTTTTCTATTCACAATTAGGGTTACTCTGGTGGTGATGACTAATTTCTCTTCTATTTTTCCCCAAAAGATACCTCTTTTTAAATTCAATTGATGAGCTCAAACAAGTTGCCAACTGGGAGGGCAAGGGGCCTGCCTCCCGTCAGAAGTTGATGGAGAAGCTGCAGAGTGAGTCGTTTGAAGTTTTGTTTTTAACTTTTTCTAATCCTCATTTCACCTCTTCCTTCTCAGACTTCCTCCCACCGGAGATCATGCTACCGCCGCGCCGCCTGCAGACGCTGCTGAATCAGGCGATTGAGCGGCAGAAGGATCAGTGCTTCTTTCACAATCACAACCTCGAGTGCAGCTGGGAGGACTTTTCCCTGCTGGTCGACCACTCCTGCAGCAAGTGCGTTCAGTTTTCACTTTTTGCCAAGTTTTTTCTCTTTCGCTAACTCTATTCTTTTTCCCCCTTTCCTTTAACGCCCCCAACTCTCAAGCAGAGACGACTTACCCAGTGAGACGACGCAGATTCTGGAGGAGCACCGCGACGAGGTCTGGTACTGTCAGTTCTCCAATGACGGCACCCGACTGGCCACCGGCTCCAAGGACGGCACCATCATCATCTGGGAGGTGGATCCGGTATGTTTTTTTTATAAAGGTGTGTTGAATATGATTCTTATTTACTCCCTTCCCTTAGGACACCCTTAACCTGTCGATCAAGTACACCTTTGGCGGGCACAGCTTCGCCATTGCCTTCTTCGCCTGGAGCCCCGACGACCACTACCTGGTCGCCCTGGGCCCCGAGGAGGCGGGCGAGTTCTGGATCTGGGACTGTACTGTAAGTGACGTGGCACTTTGTTTGTTTTTCCCTAAAGATCTCCTAACCCTTTATTCCCTCTCCTTTCACCTTTTGCAGACCGGTCTGATCAAGCACAAGGGCAACAACCAGACGGACGACAGCTTAACCACCTGTGCCTGGCACCCGGACAGTCAGAGGTTCGTCGCCGCCGGTACCAGGGGTCACTTCTACCAAATTGTGAGTGCTGTGTTGGTTGTTTTGAAGGCTTTTTAATCTAATTCCATTTCATTCCATTCCACCAGGACCTGGAGGGCAACATCGTCGACAACTGGGAGGGCGTGCGCGTCCAGTGTCTGGCCTACAAGAAGGACGGCAGGGTGGTCCTCGCCGCTGATACTCACTACCGAATAAGGGGCTACAATTTCGAAGAAGTAAATGACTTCACACTGTAAGTGCTTTGTTTTCGGAGCTTTTGCCAAGGCTAATCTCCCCCTCTTTACCAGCATCAAAGAAGACCATTCCATAGTGTCTTTCGTATGTGATCGCACCGGCCGCTACGCGCTGGTGAACGTGGAGAGCCAGGGCGTCCACCTCTGGGACCTGGAGGACCGGGTGCTGGTGCGCAAGTTCCAGGGCCTCTCCCAGGGCTACTACACCATTCACTCCTGCTTCGGAGGCGTCGACCAGGTCTTTCTCGCCAGCGGCAGTGAGGGTAAGTCTGTATTTTTTACCTGTTTTGTTGTCATTATCTCACCCTCATTTCTCCCTCTCACACCTCAGACAACAAGATCTACATCTGGCACAAGAAGCGCGAGCACCCGATCTCAGTGCTGAAGGGCCACCGGCGGACGGTCAACTGCGTCAGCTGGAATCCGCGGTACACGAACATGCTGGCCAGTGCCTCAGACGACACCACCGTGCGCATTTGGACGTCCAAGCGGAAGGCAGCGGACAAGGAGCAGCACGCACAGGGACAGGGCTCGTCGACGAGCAGTGGTGGTGGTAGTGGTGGAAGAGGACACTCCTCTTCCTCTTTCAACAACCACAACATCAGCGGTGGTGGTGGAAACATTGGCGGTAATGCTGGCGGCAGCAGTGGAAGCAGTGGCGGTGGACAGATTCACCCACCACCGCCGCCGCCCCCGCTGCCCCCGCAGGCGCTCTCTTCGATGATCTCGTCATCATCGTCCTCGGTGGTCGCCCAAGCCCCGGCCAGCTCCTCCTCCTCTTCCTCCTCCGCTTCATCTGCTTCATCCGCCTCCTCCTCTTCCGCTTCCACCTCCTCTTCCACCTCGTCCTCGTCGACGCCCTCTCCCTCATCATCATCGGCGACGATGGCGGCGGCGGCGGCTGCTGCTGCTGCGGCCGCCGCTGCTGCCTCGTCATCGTCTGCACACGTCGTCGCTGCCGCCGGCCCGTCTTCTTCGGCCGCGGCAGCCCATCTTCCTTCTCCGCCATGATTTCTACTACTATTGCCGCTGCTGCAGCATCTACTGCAGAGCCTACTTCTCCTCTTATCGTTTCTCTTTCTTTTCCTCTTTCTCTTTCTCTTTCTCCTCCTCCTTCTCTTCTGTCTCCTTTTCGTTCTCTAAAATTTTTACTACTGCTAAACCTCTCTCAAGATAACCTTTTCTCCTTCTTTTTCTTTTCCCCCTTCTCTCTCTCTCTCTCTTTCACTTATATAACACATCTCGTACCGATGATGATGATGATTAAACGAAATCAAAGCAAGTGTGTCTGGATATCCAAAGCTGTGTCGGCATCATCAATTTAGGGAGGGGATCATCTTACTGTCTGTGTAGTGGCGGCGGCTTTCTTTGACAGAACATCTGCTGAAGATCATCAATGTACTGACACACCAATTGACAATGGTTCAAGGTTCAAAATTATAAATAGGATCTTTATTGTTCGCGTTGAATGTCACTGACCATCACTGCCGCTGCTGTCACCACCTGAGCTGTTGTCGGCTGAGTTATCATCTAAAGTATCACAACTAGCATCACCTCCACCGTACCGAAGAAGGAGAAATCGCCTTAGTGCATTAAGAGACAGGTACCGATGTGAGACTCGATTCCTCCTTTCGGGCGCCATCTGCGCCAGCGTCCGATCGTGGCCGTCGGGGAGGAAGCAGGGAAAGCCGAAGCCGCTCCCCCTTGGCTCGATGATCTGCCCGGTCAGTGTGCCGCGGAAGACGTGCACCTCGGCGGTCTTTGGATCTGGTTGAGCACTTCCATCGCAGAAGGCGGCCATGCAGACCGCCGTCGCCGACTTGTCCTCCCAGTCCTTCACCATGCGGTAGATGCCCTCAGAGCCGATGGAATCGATGAACCACTTCACATACGGGCCGGGCATTCCGTCCAGGGCGTCGATGCTGAGGTGGAGGAGGTGGGTGGAGTGGGTGGAAATAGAAATAGAATTCTGGTTGTGGATTTTGCTGGAGTTCGAAATTCCACCCTGCTTACCAGAGCGAAGTGTCCTCGACCAGGACCGGCCCGCCGACGATGGCCGCCGCCAGGCGGCACTTCTCCGAGACGATAAACTCCAGCTCGCCCTGGTACTCGGGCAGGTCGACCTTCTCGTGGACAATCTAATGGTGGTGGTGGAGAGATAAAGAACGGGTGAACACGATGATAAACAAAGCAATCAGTTGCGCTTACCTCAAAGGGCAGATCACGGCCGATGATGCTGACAATCTCGTCGAGCTTCTTCAGATTGCCTGTGATGACGGTGAGACGTGGTTTGGTGGCCATGATAGGAAAAGGTGATGANAGAACGGGTAAACAGTGATGATAAACAAAACAGTCAAAGCAGTCGTTTACCTCAAAAGGCAGATCACGGCCGATGATGCTGACAATCTCGTCGAGCTTCTTCAGATTGCCCGTGATGACGGTGAGACGTGGTTTGGTGGCCATGATAGGAAAAGGTGATGACAGAAAGGACGACAGCAGCAGGTGTATACAAGGAGAGATAATTGGCAGCCGTGTTGTTTGCAGTTTGCAGTGTTCCTTGGCACAAGATCAAAAGTTGAGTTTGTACAAAAAGACTTCTACTTCTTCTTCTTCTTCAGATGACGTCGTCGTCCTTTGTACGCGAACTCATTCTCAGCTGGTGAGATCGACCGACGGCTCCATTTGTAGTCTTCTAGTTTGCCTTCATGCCTGCACGTCTCCAGGCAGGCTCTTATCTCACCACCCTCGTGGTACAAGTTTACCACGAGGTGATATCGATCGCCATCATCAAAGGAAGCCGACTCGAATTTTGAAGCCGCAGCAGAGTACCTTACTCCGCCGCCGCCATCCACTTCGAGACTTCATGTTTCTAGTGTTTTTCGAAAGTTCAGCAGTTCACCTCGATGATATCGTTGCATCATCACCTTCTTTTTCTGCACTTCGAAAAGGGAAGAAAATCTTTCAGCAACATTTTTGTACGGCATCACGTCCTCTGCGAACGCTCAGCGCCAGTGCACAGTTCAGTCTTCCGCGGAACTTTCTCCCTCTCTTTTCTCTGCTTCTGTTTGCTGTGTTTGGCTGTCTGCTGCTGCTGCAGATTTTGCTGTTGTCGCCGCGTGTTCCAAGCCTTTTCTCTTCTCCTTTTCCACTTCGGAAGATTCTACTTTGGTGCAGTAATCACCTCATCACCCCACACACTACTTTCAAACGTCTGTTCTGTGTTGTGCCTGGTGTTCAGCGTTTCCCCTCCTTTGATCTTTGAACCAGAACTTTCTCTTCATCACCACCACCAAGAAGAACACTCGCTGACTTGCTGTGTGGAATTCTCCCTCTTTCTGTTTGTACAACACTTCTACCTTCATTGTACAGCAAGTCATCGGTATCCTCAGTCACCTCTGGCCACCACCAGCTAGCGCCAGAGTCCTCGTGGTTCGAAGAAGAAGTGGATCCCATCACCACCACAACCTCGACCACTACGACGACCACCACGACCGCGACCACCACTGCAACAACGGTACGTGCCTCCATTTTTGTAGTCTGCAGGCGCCAGACTCTTTCTATTTCTCTTTCTCTTTCGATCTTTCTCTCTCGAGTTCCATGATCAGGCCTGCCTAGTAGTAGTTTGCCTTCTACTTCTCTCTCTCGCGCGCACATTTTCTATCCATCTCACTTCTTCTTCAGTCTCTCATTCCTTGTGTGTGTGTGTGTGTGTGTGTGTTTATATCGGCGTCTTCGTCGTCGGCATCATCGGCGGCTGCTGTCTTCATCTGGCTTCCATTACGGTTCCCTGCCTGTTCTCTTCACTTCAGCTCGGTTCGGTTTGGTCTGTTCACTGTGTTTCAGTCTCGCCAGTCTCCCCAGACCAACACATTCAACTCGCACAAACAGTTTCGCTTCCCCAACATTTTCTTTCAGCGACACATCAGCCACCTTCCTCAACCTAAACACACACCAGTCGGCGAGGAAGAAGAACGGTCTGTTCTTCTCTTCTGGCACAGCACAAATTGTGTTTTGCTGCTGGTTGCTGCAGCTAAACTCTTTCGGTTAGTGTTTGTGCTTGTTTCTGTTTTCTGTTTTCTGTCTGTCTCTGGTTGGTACTGGTGTGTATTTTAGCGGCTTCCTCTTTTCACTCACTCTCTTCAGCTAGATCATCTCTATCGGCATTACCACCACGAGTCA